CCCTGCGCCTGATCCTCTGCCAGTCCCACTCTGCATGGACTCAGCTACAGGACAGCCTGGACATTTTCCTCTTGAAAACCCATTTTCCCTCCAGGAATGACACTGAGGGGGCTCTGCTGCCAGGGACAGGGACAGGAGGAGAGGGAACGGCCTCAGGCTGGGCCAGGACAGGCTCAGGCTGGGCCAGGACAGGCTCAGGCTGGGCCAGGACAGGCTCAGGTGGGCCAGGACAGGCTCAGGCTGGGCCAGGACAGGCTCAGGCTGGGCCAGGACAGGCTCAGGCTGGGCCAGGACAGGCTCAGGGGGGGCAGCAGCAGGAATTTCCCCATGGAAAGGGGGTCAGGGCCTGGAAGTGCCCAGGGAGGTTTGCAGTGCCCATCCCTGAAGGTGCCCAGGGAATTCCTGGAGGTGGCACTCAGGGGACAAGGTGGGCATCGGGCACAGCTGGGGCTCCATGGGCTGGGAGGGCTTTTCCAGCCCCAGGGACTTTGGGATTTTGGGAATCTCAGTGCAGCAGGGGCTCAAAGCCCGAGGTGTGGCTGCACTGTGACTATCCCAGGATGACCCAATTCCCAGTCCATCCCAGAGGAGCCCCTGGTAGGAACAGCAGAGGGAGCTGCAGGCCCAGAAATTCCCAATTCCCGGAGTTTGGGTGCAGGAAGAGTTCACTCCCCCCACTCATGCATCTGCAGCTTTGCCAGGGTTTTTTCTTTGCAAGACTCTCCAGCTGAATCCTGCTGCAGTCCCAGGGACACTGAACCATGACTGGTACCCCTGAAATATTCCAGCTCACTTCCAGCCCAGTGTCCAACAGCTGGAAACAGCTGGCAGTGAGCGCAAGACTCTCCAGCTGAATCCTGCTGCAGTCCCAGGGACACTGAACCATGACTGGTACCCCTGAAATATTCCAGCTCACTTCCAGCCCAGTGTCCAACAGCTGGAAACAGCTGGCAGTGAGCACCACTCCCACCATATTCCAGGTTTTGCAGGACATTCTTCTTTTCCAACCACAAACAGAGCCACAACATCCCAGGCACAGACTTTTTCCAGCTCCATTCTGCACCAGGCTCAAAGCTCCTGGGCAGCTCCTCAGGGATTTAACTCCTCCCTCTCCCTCACTCACAAGGGGCTCTGTTTGACAGCAGTGAAAAGTTTATTTTATTTTATTTTATTTTATGTTATTTTATTTTATTTTATTTTTATTTTATTTTTATTTTATTTTATTATTTTAGTTTATTTATTTATATTTTATTTTATTTTATTATTTTAGTTTATTTTTATTTTATTTTATTATTTTAGTTTATTCTATTTTATTTTATTATTTTAGTTTATTTTTTATTTTAGTTTATTTTATTATTTTAGTTTATTTATTTTATTTTATTTTATTTTATTTTATTTTATTTTTTAGTTTATTTTTATTTTAGTTTATTATTTTAGTTTATTTTATTTTTTTAGTTTATTTTTATTTTATTATAGTTTAGTTTATTATTTTAGTTTATTTAGTTTATTCTATTTTATTTTATTTTATTATTTTAGTTTATTTATTTTTATTTTATTTTATTTTATTTTATTTTATTTTAGTTTATTATTTCAGTTTATTTTTATTTTTATTTTTATTTTTTAGTTTATTTTCATTTTATTTTATTTTAGTTTATTATTTTAGTTTATCTATTTTAGTTTATTTATTTTATTTTAGTTTATTTATTTTAGTTTATTATATTTTATTTTATTTTTTAGCTTTATTTTATTACTTTGTTTTATTTTATTTTATTTTATTTTATTATTTTTACTTATTTATTTATTTATTTATTTATTAATTATGTGTGGAACTGAATAATTTCTGTTCAATTCAACTCTGACTCTCTTCTAGAACTTTCTTTGCCTTATCAAGTTTCTGATGTCTCTGAGGCCCAGGAAAAACCCCAGGATGGGAAGGGCAGAGGTGCTGCCTTGGATCCCAAGGAATTCCTGGGATGGGGAAAATGCCAGGAGCACTGGGATCCCCTGGGGCACTGCTCTGTCCATAACTGTCCATAACTGGTCCCATAACTGGACCCATAACTGCTCTGTCCATAACTGCTCTGTCCATAACTGTCCATAACTGGTCCCATAACTGGACCCATAACTGTCCACAACTGCTCTATCCATAACTGGACCCATAACTGGACCCATAACTGGACCCATAACTGCTCTGTCCATAACTGCTCTGTCCATAACTGTCCATAACTGTCCATAACTGGTCCCATAACTGCTCTGTCCATAACTGCTCCCATAACTGCTCTGTCCATAACTGGTCCCATAACTGCTCTGTCCAAAACTGCTCTGTCCATAACTGGTCCCATAACTGGACCCATAACTGCTCTGTCCATAACTGGACCCATAACTGGACCCATAACTGCTCTGTCCATAACTGGTCCCATAACTGCTCTGTCCATAACTGGTCCCATAACTGCTCTGTCCATAACTGGACCCGTAACTGCTCTGTCCATAACTCTCTGTCCATAACTGGACCCATAACTGGACCCATAACTGCTCTGTCCATAACTGTCCATAACTGGACCCATAACTGGACCCATAACTGCTCTGTCCATAACTGCTCTGTCCATAACTGGACCCATAACTGGACCCATAACTGGACCCATAACTGCTCTGTCCATAACTGCCCATAACTGGCCCCATAATTGGACCCGTAACTGCTCTGTCCATAACTCTCTGTCCATAACTGGACCCATAACTGGACCCATAACTGCTCTGTCCATAACTGCTCTGTCCATAACTGCTCTGTCCATAACTGTCCATAACTGCTCCCATAACTGCTCTGTCCATAACTGCTCCCATAACTGGTCCCATAACTGGTCCCATAACTGCTCTGTCCATAACTGCTCTGTCCATAACTGCTCCCATAACTGGTCCCATAACTGCTCTGTCCATAACTGCTCTGTCCATAACTGGTCCCATAACTGCTCTGTCCATAACTGCTCTGTCCATAACTGGACCCATAACTGGTCCCATAACTGCTCTGTCCATAACTCTCTGTCCATAACTGCTCTGTCCATAACTGGACCCATAACTGCTCTGTCCATAACTGCTCTGTCCATAACTGGTCCCATAACTGCTCTGTCCATAACTGTCCATAACTGTCCATAACTGCTCCCATAACTGCTCTGTCCATAACTGCTCTGTCCATAACTGCTCTGTCCATAACTGCTCTGTCCATAACTCTCTGTCCATAACTGCTCCCACAACTGCTCCCATAACTGGACCCATAACTGCTCCCATAACCGTGGCAGTGGGGTAATCCCAGTGCCAGGTGCATCTCCAAGGAGAGAGGATGAGCTGCAGCTTCAATGGGATTACAGGAATTCTGTAAAAGCAGTGAATTCCGAGCTTTCAGCAAGCTGTGTAACACCGAACCCCTTTCCCTGTCTCCCTGAACTGCTCCTGGTTATCCCTGCTCCCTTCCTCAGGAGCTGCATTCCCATGGGACCACCCTTCACTTCTCATCCCAACAGGGAATCAATTCCTTGGAACACATCTGTTTAACTGCCCAGAGTTTGTTCTCAGGCTTTGCCTTTAGACTCATTCCAAACCAGGCCTGGACAACAGTTGCCTGCTTTATTTCAAATATCCCTCTTTAAAATGAGAGAGTTTCTTGCTGCTCCACCTGGCTCAGAGCTCGGGCTGTGCTCCTGGAAAACAAGGAGCTGTTTCCAACCTGAGGAGGGACAAGGAGGCTCATGTGTAAACCTGGAGCAGAGGGAGGGGGGATGCAAAGAGCCTGAAACCAAACACCCCCAGACCCATTTGGTGTCACCAAACACCCCCAGACTCACCTGGTGTCACCAAACACCCCCAGACTCATTTGGTGTCACCAAACACCCCCAGACTCATTTGGTGTCACCAAACACCCCCAGACTCATTTGGTGTCACCAAACACCCCCAGACTCACTTTCTGGTGTCACCAAACACCCCCAGACTCATTTGGTGTCACCAAACAACCCCAGACTCACTTTTTGGTGTCACCAAAGCCCCCAGACTCATTTGGTGCTGTCACCAAACACCCCCAGACTCACTTTTTGGTGTCACCAAACACCCCCAGACTCACTTGGTGTCACTAAACACCCCCAGACTCATTTGGTGTCACCAAACAACCCCAGACTCACTTTCTGGTGTCACCAAAGCCCCCAGACTCACTTGATGTTGTCATCCTGGTCAGCAAACTCCTCGTCGTTGAAGCCGAACTGATCCGCGAAATTTGCCGTCATCTGCTGGATCTGGTACTCGGAGAAGGCCTGGGAAGGGATCCCAGAAATCCATCATTAGGGTGTCCAGAGACAGAATCCCAGAACCAGTGGGGCTGTGAGGAAACAGCTCCCCCAGGAAAGCGCTGAATTCCCAGGGAAGTGTGTGAAATCCTCACCCCGACCTTGGCAGGGCAGGGTCCCGCAGAGCTCTGGGATTCCCGCCCCGATCCCTCCCGAGCTGCTCCCGGGAGGATCCCAGCCCTGGGAAATCCCAGAGGAGCTGGAGACACGGGGCAGAGCTGGGGAAGCTGCTCCACAGCAGGATGGACTGAGGAGAACCGCAGCAGGAATAGCGAGGATGTTCCCAACTCACCTGTTGGAGAGTGAGCTCGTTGGGAAAAGCGCTTTCAATGTCCTCATCCTCGCTGGAGGAGTGCAGGTGGTGGGTGCTCACCTGGGAAAGCACAAACCAGTCAGGGGACCTGGGAAAGCTGGAAAAGCTCCCACGTTCCAATTCCACCACAGCCCAAAGTCCTGCCCAGGCAGGAGCTGCCCCGAGGAACCCCAGGGAGCAGCTCAGCACCACGGATCAGCTCTGCTGAAGGACCATTATGGAATAGGTTTATGGGAATGATTTCTACACTGCCTTGAAGCGTTCTTCAGCAAAACAAGGCAAAAGGAAAACCAGGAGTATCCCTTTCTTCTCTTAGGGGAAGCCCAGCAGGCACTGCAGTGACCAGCTCACCAAATCCACCGTGTTCCTCCGGTTCGTCTCCGTCAGCGTCTCCTCCACAAAACTCTCCCACCTGCCCCTGCAGTCCTCAGGCAGCTCTGCAACGAGAGGAACACAGGAACCATGGCATTCGGGTGCTCTCAGCTCCCTGGGGACTCACCTGGCCCAAGGACTCTCAGCTTCTCTCACCCTGCTGGGAACAACCACCCTGAGCGGGGCTCCAGGTGTGCCTGGGTCTTCCCTTTTCTCCCGGGACTGGGGGGCCCTTCCTTCCCTTCCCTCCCATCCCTGCCTTCCCTCCCTTCCCTCTCCCTTCCCTCCACCTTCCCTCCCATCCCTGCCTTCCCTCTCCCTTCCCTCCCATCCCTGCCTTCCCTCTCCCTTCCTTCCCTTCCCTCCCNTCCCTGCCATCCCTCCCTTCCCTCCCATCCCTCCCTTCCCTCTCCCATCCCTCCACCTTCCCTCCCCTCCCTTCCCTCTCCCATCCCTGCCATCCCTCCCATCCCAGCACACCGGGGAGCCCCAAGGGGAGCAGAAGCTGAGGGTGGAGGAAAGGAAACGGAGAAAAGAGAGGATTGTGCCCTCAGATCGTCACTGCCCGGCAGGGGCGGAGCAGAGGGGATGGACAATGTGGAAAATGGAAAATCTTCCTTCCTCCCACCCAAACCCACCGGGAAAACCAGTTCTCCCAGTGGATCCAGTGAGGATGGACACAGCCTGGGAACATCCCTGATGAGCTCCTCTGTGGCTGCTGGGGACATTTAACCCCGAGTCTCCTTCCTCAGAGGTGTCACGGAGTCATGGAATGGTTGGGTGGGAAGGGACCCCAGGCCCCCCCAGTGCCCCCCACCACGGCAGGGACACCTCCCAGTGCCCAATCCCAACCCCACTGTGAAAACCCAGAGCAGCCAGACGGGGTCTCACCATGCTTTCAGTGATGGCATTTCCCTGGGAATCCTTTCCAGTGGAAAGGATCTCGAGGAAATACCTGCAGGGAGTCCTTCCAGGAGCTCCCAAGGGGTTTTTTTCCCTGGAGAGCTGTGAGGGGGAGCTGGAGGAGGAAGAGGAGGAAGAGGAGGAGGAGGAGCAGGCGGTACCTTTGATGAAGTCACTGATCTGGGCCTGCATGGGTCCCTTCTCCATGTTGTGCACCACGGCGTTGGCGATGCGGGTCAGGTGCCCCATGTTCCCTCTCCTCCTGCCGCCCTCCGCCCTGGAACAGAGAGCGGGGATACCCTCGGGCTGGGGTACCCTCGGATACCCTTCGGATACCCTCAGAGCAGGGATACATCAGAGCAAGGATACCCTCGGAGCAGGGATACCCTCGGAGCAGGGATACCCTTGGAGGAGGGATACCCTCGGATACCCTCGGAGCTAGGGTACCCTCGGATACCTTCGGAGCAGGGATACCCTCGGGATACCCTCAGAGCTGGGGTACCCTCGGATACCCTCGGAGCAGGGATACCCTCGGAGCAGGGATACCCTTGGAGCAGGGATACCCTCGGGATACCCTCGGAGCTGGGGTACCCTCGGGATACCCTCGGAGCAGGGGTACCCTCAGAGCAGGGACACACTCGGAGCAGGGATACCCTTGGAGCAGGGATGGGAAACTCTCGGAGTCCTAGGAATTGCCCCAGCATTCCAGCCCCAATGGCCACAGAATTCCAGCCCCAATGCCCATGGAATTCCAGCCCCAATGGCCATGGAATTCCAGCCCCAATGGCCACAGAATTCCAGCCCCAATGCCCATGGAATTCCAGCCCCAATGCCCACGGAATTCCAGCCCCAATGCCCACGGAATTCCAGCCCCAATGCCCACAGAATTCCAGCTCCAATGCCCATGGAATTCCAGCTCCAATGGCCATGGAATTCCAGCTCCAATGGCCACAGAATTCCAGCCCCAATGGCCACAGAATTCCAGCCCCAGTGGCCACAGAATTCCAGCCCCAATGCCCACAGAATTCCAGCCCCAATGGCCACAGAATTCCAGCTCCAATGGCCACAGAATTCCTGCCCCAATGCCCATGGAATTCCAGCTCCAATGCCCACGGAATTCCAGCCCCAATGCCCATGGAATTCCAGCTCCAGGGTGGGGCTGGGACTGCAGCAGTGACTCCCCCGGGAGAGAAAACATTCCCATCCCACCATGGGATAAAACCAGGTCCCAACAGCGAGCCCGAGCAGCTGGAATTCTGTGGCGAGTGAAGCTGTGCTCAATCCCAGCTCAGGGAATCCTGGAATTGGGATAGAAGGGACCCCCAGAGCCCCCCCAGAGCCCCCCTGTTCCAGCCTGGCCTTGGCATCCATCTGCCACTGACAGCAGCCAACAAAACCCCACCTTCCCAAAGCCCCAGCTGAGATTATTCCTCTGCTTGAATCCCCATTTTTTCCCTTCCAATCAGATTTTTCCCAGTGTGGAAAAGTGGAACTCTCTGCTGGGAAATTGGGATGAGCTCTGGCTCCTTCTGGTTTCATCAGGAAAAATCCCAAGCAGCACCCAGGGATATTTTTGGTGCCCAGGGATATTTTTGATCCTACAGATCTAGGCAAGGAAATGCCCAGCAAAATTCCTTATGTGGATGAGGGGCTGTAAAAAGGACCAAAATCCCAAAAAAAACCAAATTAAACCAACAACAAAAAAAAAAATGTAATTCAGACCTCAAGCCTCCAATTCTGGCCTAAACCATGGCAGTGAAGCCAGCAGGAGCTCAAAATAAAGAGTGAGGACCAAACACTGAGCTGGGCGTGGAAACTGAAGCCTGCAGAAGATTTCCACTTTGATTTCTTAGTTTTTTAAAAAATATTTAGTTCTTATCAGCCCAATCAGCACAAAATCCAAAGGTTTATAAAGCTAAAATAGGAAATCTGAGGCAGAAATGCTTGGCCACCCCAACTTAAAGCAGTTTTCTTCTCCAGGGAGAATAGAATGATGCATTTAAAACAAAACAGAACGAAAAAAGAGAATGAAAGAAGTGAATATTCCATGGGATTCCCTGAGAAAGCAGGAAAGCAGCAGATTGAGGTGTTGGGATGAGGTGTTGGGAACATCCCTAAATCCCATCACGCCTTCAAATCCTGTCTGTTTGGGAATTTGGCTTGTCAGCATGCAAACCAGCCCAGCTCCAAACCCCAACCAAAAGCCAAGTCTGTTTGGACACCACTAAACTGGGAATTCTCTGAGAACATTATCCCAAATCTGCAGCAATTCCTTACTGGATTTTGTCATTGGCTTCCCAGGCGTCCAATATCCTCTGCACCAGGCAGCACTTCTGGAACAGCTGTGGGGAAAAGGGAGAACGTTGGGGATTTTCCAGAGGAGAAATGTGCATGCTCCTGTTCCTCCTGTTCAGGAATAAACTGTCTTTATTCCTTTTATGTCTTAAGCCTGTTTTGCTCTCGTTCTAATCCGTATCTCACAACAAGAAATAAGTAAGTTTTTTAGTTACTGGTTTAAAACCACGACACTCCCCTCATTCCTCCCCAGGAGATCAAATCTCAGCCCTGCCCCAGGAGCCCCAGCTCCTTCCCAAGGATCCCAGCAGATCCCAGCAGATCCCAGCAGCAGGAATTAAAGGAATTAAAGGAATTAATTAAAGGAATTAAAGCCCTGCCAGGCACCACTCCGAGGCCTGGCCACTAACAGCTGGAATGTTCTTGGCTGGGTTGTTTTTTTTTTTTCCCAAAATTTATAGTAATTTTTACTAAAAAAAAAAAAAAAAGGAATTTGAAATTTAAGAATAAATGGGGATCATTTTAATAAATAGCAAGGGATTCACAGGGCCATTAAATGAGGGAATGTTTTAATGGGATATCTCAAATAAAGGCACAAAAACGAACACAGCTCCACGAGAACCACCCCAAATGATAATAAATAGTAATAAATCCCACTAAATATAGGTAATAAATAATAATAAATTATAATAAAGCTCATAAAAATTGGTAATAAATAATGAAATTCACTAAAAAATGGCAATAAATTATAACAAAACCCACTGAAAATTACATATAAAAATAAGTAAAAATAAGTAACAACAAATTCAAACTGAGCCAAGTGCCTGCTCTGCAACAGCCCAGCTCAGAGACCCCTGGAGACCCCAGCCCAGAGACCCCTGGAGACCCCAGCCCAGAGACCCCTGGAGACCCCAGCCCCATCTCAGGGATCCCTGGAGACCCCAGCCCAGAGATCCCTGGAGACCCCAGCCCAGAGACCCCTGGTGACCCCAGCCCCATCTCAGGGATCCCTGGTGACCCCAGCTCAGAGACCCCTGGAGACCCCAGCCCAGAGACCCCTGGTGACCCCAGCCCAGAGATCCCTGGTGACCCCAGCCCCATCTCAGGGATCCCTGGAGACCCGAGCCCCATCTCAGGGATCCCTGGTGACCCCAGACCCATCTCAGGATCCCTGGGGACCCCAGCCCAGAGACCACTGGTGACCCCAGTCTCATCTCAGAGACCCCTGGTGACCCCAGCCCCATCCCAGGGACCCCTGGTGACCCCAGCCCCAGCCCAGAGAGCCCTGGTGACCCTAGCCCAGCTCTCACGTGAGTGACCCCAGCTCCATCCTCAGGGACCCCTGGTGACCCCAGCACCATCTCAGGGATCCCTGGAGACCCCAGACCCATCTCAGGGATCCCCTGGTGACCCCAGCCCCATCTTAGGGATCCCTGGTGACCCCAGCCCCATCTCAGGGATTTCTGGAGACCCCAGCCCCATCTCAGGGACCCCTGGTGTCCTCAGCCCCATCCCAGGGATCCCTGGTGACTCCAGCCCAGCTCTCACGTGGGTGACCCCAGCTCCATCCTCAGGGATCCCTGGTGACCCCAGCCAAGCCCAGAGACCCCTGGTGACCCCAGCCCCATCTCAGAGAGCCCTGGTGACCCCAGCCCAGCCCAGAGACCCCTGGTGACCCCAGCCCAGCTCTCACGTGGGTGACCATGACGTTCTCGGTGGCTCCGGCCGGGGGCTCTGAGGGCTCCGTGGGCTCCGTGGGCTCCGCTGGCTCCGGGGCCGCGTTCCCGCTCGGAGCTTCCTCTTTGCTGCCCGGCTCCCCCGGGCTGGGCTTCCCCTCGTGCACAGAGTGGGACAGGATGGCTGCTATGGACAGCTCCACTTGGAAATGCAAAAAGTTATTCCACGTGTATTTAAAAAATAAATCCTGGAGGAGAAATGAGAGATGGAAGAGTTTACTTGGGATAAATCTTCCTGGTTTTAATGATCAGTGACATCAGGGATCTTTAAGGATCCTCCCAACTCAACCCATGCCAGGATTCTGGGACTCTGGGATATTAAATTGTTGCCCAAGTTGTTGTTTGATCATCAATTCCACTCAGTTTTCCTGCCACACACCCACTGCTGGCTGGGCTCTGCATTCCCAGGGTGCTCAGTCTGTTGGGAAATCAGTGAATATTCCCAATAAATGGAGCACTTGGGAATCCTCTCACAGCAGAGATACACTGAATGAAGTAACTCCACTGGGGCTGAATGAATCCTAGGAAAAACAGGAACTGAATCATTGCTAAGGATGGAATTAATTCCCTTAAGGTTGCCCAGGTTCTGGGAGGCCCTTCCCAGCCCCAGGGATCCTGGGAGAAAATTAATCTCTCAGCATTCCAGGAGCTCACACACACAGCACAGACTGTTTCACACCTTCTCCACCGATCTGACACAGAATTGGAAGCGTGAGGCTCAGTCTAAAACCCCAAACAGTCGGATTTGGATGGCAAAAGCTCCTGCAGGGATCTGCTCCTCGCTGGAGCAGGTAAGGGAAATAGCAGGACTTTGTCCCCCTGGCAGAGAAGGGACCCCACAGCCCGTCCCCGCTCCCTGAGAGGCCCCTGGATACTCACAAGTAGCAAGTCCATGGTGCCGAGCCTGCAGAGCTCGTGGTTGATGCTGGGGGTGTTGGTGTGCAGCAGCGCCGCGATCAGCCGCGAGCCGTGCAGCCGCGCGTTGCCCAGAGGCTCCTCCAGCACTCCCAGCGTGGTCAGGATGGCCGGTTTCTGAGGAGCAGGGATGCCAGTCAGGGAAGGACAACGTTCCCTCAGCACACGTGTGTCAGGGCTCTGCTCCACAGTGCCCAGAGCCTCGGCTGTTCAGCTCCATCTCACCCGGGGGAAGAACTGCCCATGGAGGGGCAGAGCCCTGGGACCACTGCCCAGGGAGGGGACAGAGCCCTGGGACACTGCCCAGGGAGGGGACAGAGCCCTGGAAGCGCTGCCCAGGGAGGGGACAGAGCCCTGGAAGCGCTGCCCAGGGAGGGGCAGAGCCCTGGGACACTGCCCAGGGAGGGGACAGAGCCCTGGGACCACTGCCCAGGGAGGGGGCAGAGCCCCGAGACACTGCCCATGGAGGGGGCAGAGCCCTGGGACCACTGCCCAGGGAGGGGGCAGAGCCCTGGAAGCGCTGCCCAGGGAGGGGACAGAGCCCTGGAAGCGCTGCCCAGGGAGGGGACAGAGCCCTGGAAGCGCTGCCCATGGAGGGGCAGAGCCCTGGGACACTGCCCATGGAGGGGACAGAGCCCTGGGACCACTGCCCAGGGAGGGGGCAGAGCCCCGAGACACTGCCCATGGAGGGGGCAGAGCCCTGGGACCACTGCCCAGGGAGGGGGCAGAGCCCTGGAAGCGCTGCCCAGGGAGGGGACAGAGCCCTGGAAGCGCTGCCCAGGGAGGGGACAGAGCCCTGGAAGTGCTGCCCATGGAGGGGACAGAGCCCTGGAAGTGCTGCCCATGGAGGGGACAGAGCCCTGGGACACTGCCCAGGGAGGGGCAGAGCCCTGGGACCACTGCCCATGGAGGGGCAGAGCCCTGGGACCACTGCCCAGGGAGGGGACAGAGCCCTGGAAGTGCTGCCCAGGGAGGGGCAGAGCCCTGGGACCACTGCCCAGGGAGGGGACAGAGCCCTGGGACCACTGCCCAGGGAGGGGACAGAGCCCTGGGACCACTGCCCAGGGAGGGCCTGAGTCCCCCAGCTCTGCAGACATCCCAAAGCCAGCTGGATGTGTCCCTGTGTCACCTGCTCCAGGTGACCCTGCCCTGCCCACACAACCCCAGCTGCTCTGGGACTCTCACATTTACCAGAACCCTCTCATTTCAGGTCTGTTCTCAGCAGGGAAACCCAAACCACCTTCCCAAGAGGATGGCTCTGGGACCACCAGGTGATCTGACTGCCAGATCAGAAGATTAAAATCCAACTATCCACTGCAAGTTCTTTTCTCTCCATCCCTTCCCATCTCCGCTCAATCCCTCAGTCCCAAAGATTTCCCTGAACACAACCCTCAGATTCCTGCTGCGGAATCCCGCTGCAGAATCCTCCTGCACATTCCTGTTGCAGATTCCCGCTGCGGAATCCTGCTGTGGATTCCTGCTGTGGATTCCTGCTGCAGAATCCCGCTGTGGAATCCTCCTGCACATTCCTGTTGCAGATTCCCGCTGCAGAATCCTGCTGCGGATTCCTGTTGCAGACTCCTGCTGCACATTCCTGCTGCAGAATCCTGCTGCGGAATCCTGCTGCACATTCCTGCTGCGGAATCCTCCTGCGGATTCCTGCTGCACATTCCCGCTGTGGATTCCTGTTGCAGATTCCCACTGCAGATTCCCGCTGCAGATTCCCACTGCAGATTCCCACTGCACATTCCCACTGCAGATTCCCACTGCAGATTCCCGCTGCAGATTCCCGCTGCAGATTCCCACTGCAGATTCCCACTGCAGATTCCCACTGCAGATTCCCGCTGCACATTCCCACTGCACATTCCCGCTGCACATTCCCACTGCAGATTCCCGCTGCAGATTCCCACTGCAGATTCCCACTGCAGATTCCCGCTGCGGATTCCTGTTGCAGATTCCCACTGCAGATTCCCGCTGCAGATTCCCACTGCAGATTCCCACTGCAGATTCCCGCTGCACATTCCCGCTGCACATTCCCGCTGCACATTCCCACTGCAGATTCCCGCTGCAGATTCCCACTGCACATTCCCGCTGCAGATTCCCACTGCAGATTCCCACTGCAGATTCCCACTGCGGATTCCCACTGCAGACTCCCACTGCACATTCCCACTGCAGACTCCCGCTGCAGATTCCCACTGCACATTCCCACTGCAGATTCCCGCTGCAGATTCCCACTGCAGATTCCCGCTGCAGATTCCCACTGCAGATTCCCACTGCACATTCCCACTGCACATTCCCACTGCAGATTCCCACTGCGGATTCCCACTGCAGACTCCTGCTGCAGATTCCCGCTGCAGATTCCCACTGCAGATTCCCGCTGCAGATTCCCGCTGCAGATTCCCGCTGCAGATTCCCACTGCAGATTCCCACTGCAGACTCCTGCTGCAGACTCCTGCTGCCTCACGCCTGCACACCTGAGTTACAGAATGTGCGTGGGGGTTTCCCCTCCCGGCTGTGTGTCCAGGCTGGAGCTGTGTGGGCTGCCGGGAATGCCGGCTGTACCTTGGGCGGGCGCAGCAGCAGCTGGTGGAAGTCCTTGAGCCGGGGCTCGATGCCGTGCAAGATGCTGCTGTTGACAGCGTAAGACCTCTCGAATCCCTGAGTGTACGAGTCCATCAGGCCTTCCACTCTGAGGGGACACCGGGATTCACTCGGGGTTCACTCGCAATTCCCTCTTCCCATTCATCACCAGGGTCCCCAAGGTCCCAATCCCAACTGGGATTCTGGGATTTTATGACATTAAACCATTGCCCAACTCGGTGTTTAATCAGCAATTTCACTAAAACCATTTTCCTTCCTGGAAACCATTTTCCTTCCGTCCCCTTCTTTCATTCCTGGTTACCCCAGCTATCCTGGTTACCCCAGTTACCCCAGTTATTCCGGTTACCCCAGTTATCCCAGTTATCCCAGCTATCCCAGTTACCCCAGCTATCCCAGTTACCCCGGTCACCCCAGTTACCCCAGTTATCCCAGTTACCCCGGTTACCCCAGTTATCCCCAGTTACCCCAGCTATACCAGTTACCCCAGTTACCCCAGTCACCCCAGCTATCCCAGCCATCCCGGCCATCCCAGCCATCCCGGCTATCCCAGTTACCCCCATTACCCCAGTTACCCCAGTTATACCAGTTACCCCAGCTATCCCAGACATCCCAGCCACCCCGGCTATCCCAGCTATCCCAGTTACCCCAGTTACCCCAGTTACCCCAGTCACCCCAGCCATCCCAGCCATCCCAGTTACCCCAGTTACCCCAGTTACCCCAGTCACCCCAGCCATCCCGGCCATCCCAGCCACCCCGGCTATCCCGGCGGTCCCGCTCACCCGGAGCGCCGCGTTTCCAGCAGCGTCAGGAGCACCTGGGTTCCGTTGACGATGCAGGTCTCGCTCTGCTCCCCGTCGAACATGTTGCTGAGGAGCTGCTCCACGCACTCCTGCCTGGGGACACAGGGGGGTGGGTCACTCCCAGGGGGCACCCACAGATCCCTGCTGGGAACTCTTCCTGCGCCGGGAGCAGGGAATGCCGGGGGGAGGAACAGGAGGCCAGCCCTGCTCCCCAGCTCTGGTTCCCCACCACACATCAGCTCTGTCCCTCCCCAAAAGCCAGCCCTCAGGAATTCCCTTCCCTGGTCCCACATCCAGCCAAACCCGGCATCCCTGAGCTCACAGCCCCATCCCCACTGCTTTCTAACATTGCAAAAATTCTCCTTGCCATGGGTATAAATAAAATATGAGACAAAAATGTAAAAACAGCTGAATAATTCATGAGGGAGGATTATTTGAATAAGGAGCATCTAAATACCCTCAGTCAGCAGAGCAGGGGACGCAGAGGCAGGAAAAGGAGTCAATTTCTGTAATGAATCAAATTCCCTTTATTGCACCCAACCAGCAGTTCCCAAACCAGGATTTGGGGCTCATTCCCTGATCCCACCCCCTTCATGCTGCTCATTCACTCCTGACTCAGGGATGATAAAAGTTATCCAAAACCCAAAAGGTCGCTGTAAGGCTGGGAAAATCGGCCAGGAAAGGAAATGAGCTTTGTGACCTCCAGCAGAAAGGGAAGAGGAGGAAAATAATCCCTTTGCCCAAAATGCTCCTTTATTTTGAGCAGGAATTCTGGAGATGGTTCCTGGAAGTGCAGGGTCCAACAGCCCTCTCCAAAAATACCAAGAAGCCTAAAATTACTAAAAAAGTCTGGAAGTGCCTCGCCTTCCATGGCCATCACCCCTTCCAGAGCCCCTGTGAAAGGTCCTGGGATTCCCAGGGGGAATGACCGAGCTGCAATCCCATCTCTGACACAAAGGAGAGGCCACAGGCTCCAGTCAGGGCTGGGACCTCCAGTGCCCCCAGCTCCAGAGCCCAACAGCAGCAGCACCTGGAGCTGCTGGGGAGAGCCCAGAGGAGACCCCGGAGCTGCTCCAGGCCTGGCGCCCCTCAGTTCCCAGGGATCCAGCCTGGGAGAGCTGGGAATGTTCCCCTGGAGAGGAGAAGGGTCCAGGGAGAGCTCAGAGCCCCTGCAGGGCCTGAAGGGGCTCCAGGAGAGCTGGGAATGTTCCCCTGGAGAGGAGAAGGCTCCAGGGAGAGCTCAGAGCCCCTGCAGGGCCTGAAGGGGCTCCAGGAGAGCTGCAGAGGGACTGGGCCAGGGCTGCAGGGCCAGGAGCCAGGGAATGGCTCCCAGTGCCAGAGGACAGGGCTGGATGTTGGCAATTGGCAATTGGGAATTGCTGCCTGGGCTGGAATTGCCAGAGCAGCTGGGGCTGCCCCTGCATCCCTGGCAGTGGCCAAGGCCAGGCTGGAGCCTGGGGCTGGGAGCAGCCTGGGCCAGTGGGAGGTGTCCCTGCCATGGCAGGGGGGCACTGGGGGGCTCGGGGGTCCCTTCTATCCCAAACCATCCCGGGATTCCATGAAAAGTCAACACTTCCCCAGCACAGGATCCTGTCAGGCCATGACACAAGGGCTGGATCTACCTCATTCCTGCAGGAGCAGTGAGGGAAATGAAGAATTCATGGAAGTGCAGCAGGTTCTGGCAGGGGCAGAGCTCCAGGGCAAGCCCAGGATGGTCCCAGTAGCTTCCCAGTACTGGGGTGATCCACATCCCATTCCCACCTCCACACTGGCTCCTGTCCCAGGAATTATCCCACAGCCATGGAGGAACTGACAGCCATGGATCAGGAGAAAAGATCCCCAGTGCCAGCTAAATTCAGAGCTCTGGGTGGACACAAATATCTCAGGGGAATTGGGAGCTCCAGTCCCTTCCATGGCTCCATCCAGCCCTTTCCTGACAAAATGTCACCTCCAGGCCTAACAGAGCCTTTTTTAGTTTCAGTCTCCTGGAGAATATCCTAGAGTTTTCAGTTTGCAGCAGTGATATGAAGCAGAAAACACAGGACATAAATAATTGAATGTTCATTGCAAAGAGCAAAGGAACAACAGCAGGATAGAGCAAAACTGGGAAAATCAACATTTCTGGTACACACTGAACATTATCTGGGAAATCAGGGAATCCTGGGATGGTTTGGGATAGAAGGGACCCCCAAACCCCCCAGTGCCCCCCTGCCATGGCAGGGACACCTCCCACTGGCCCAGGCTGCTCCCAGCCCCAGGCTCCAGCCTGGCCTTGGCCACTGCCAGGGATGCAGGGGCAGCCCCAGCTGCTCTGGCAATTCCAGCCCAGCCAGCAATTCCCAATCCCCAACATCCAGCCCTGTCCTCTGGCAGTGGATGTCATTCCTCTTGTCCTGGCACTCTAGTTCTGGATGAACAATCCCCCTCTGGCTTCCTTTGAGATCACTTCAGACCCTGAAGGTGCTGTGGGGTCCCCACAGAACCCTCCCTTCTCCAGGCTGAAATCCCCTGGGTCTTTGCCTTACCCTGAAGGGGTGCTTTGGGCTCCCTGACCCCCTTTCCTGCCCCTGGACCGAGCCCCAAACCCCAAATCCCTGAAGAGGCCGTTGATTCAGTGCTGCTCCAGCTCCAGAGGAACATCCCTGCTCTGCCTGCTCCCTGCAGAGCGACCCAGGAGCCAGCCCCAGTGCCCCCAGTACTCACGATTCCAGTGCTGTGAGAAGTGGATCCGGCTCTGGGACATCCTGGAGCTGAGTGCTCTGGTCTCTGCTCAGCCTGATGATGTCACACAGGGTCTGGGAAGCGTTGGATTGCCTCTGGAAACGGGGACAGGAGCGGTGTCAGCGCCAGGGCCAAGCCTGGCCAGGCTGGGAATGCTGCAGCTGGGATCAATCCCATTCCTGCTCCCCCTGGAGTTACTCAGAGCTGGACACTCCTGGAGCAGCAGCACCAACAGTTTGCACTCAAAGGAGATTGGCCCAAACACGACCATCAAGAGCAGCTCAGGGATGAGGATTCCTCTCTCTCTCCCCTCAATCCTGCTAACCTGCACATTCCTAACACAAGCATTCCATCCTTCCTCACACTGCTCTCTTCCTGCTGGACAGAACCCTTCACCGTTTAACTCCTGGGGATTAAAAGGTTTTCCAGGGGTGTCTGAGGAATTCATCACTCAAAGCCCCTCTGGAGCCGCTGTACCTCAGCACCTGCTCCAACACAAATCCATGAGATGTTCCCAGCTCTCCTCTCACACAGGGAACTTTGTCTGGGATGAGCTGAGGGAATCGGGCTCAGAGAACTGCATTTTCTGGGCTTTAAAACTGAATTCCCACCCGGGGCTAAAAATATTTGAAAATGGCATAAAGTGGCTGATTTTAAAGGATCTTCCAGGAACAGCAGGTTCCTCCCTAACCCCACTGTCTGTAGGTTTGAGATGAACCAAGGCAGCAGAACCAAGGAACTGCGAGTAAAAGAAGTCAAAAGCAGATGAAAGCACTCCAAAACCCCAGATCTGGTGCTGAGCAGAGGATGGCACATCCCAAAGCCATCCCCAGCGGCTCCTCCACAGGTCACACGGAAAACAGAAATCTCCAGGGCCCTGCAGGACCCAGCACCCCAAATCCCCAGCCCTGGTGCCACTCACATCCTCGTCCTGGCTCGAATGGATCAGCTCCACGAGTCTCTGGATAATCCTGGCTTCATTCAGCCACTGCAGGGAAAAGAGGAGGAGAGAAAATCCTCGTTGGATGTCCAGGAGCTCAGATCGAGAAGAGCTCTGGGAAGCTCTGCAGGAAGGGGATGCCTTTCCTTCCCTCTCCTAATTCCATCCCCGAGCTGGGGACAGGGATGGATTCGGATTTGCATCAGCACGGATGGGGATGGATTAGGATTTGCCTCCTGCCATGGAACAAACACACAGACCCTCTGGAAAACATGGAATGCTCCGGGGTCAAACAGCTCATCTGAGCAGCGGTGGCAGAACCCCCACCCCATTCTCCCAGCAGCTCCTGCTCTTCCTGCTGCTCACAATTCCTCCTCCTGCCAGATGTTGGAACAGCTGTCACCGCACCTTCACCTTGCTCCACCAGTTCCTGTTCTCCATGCAAACCATTCCCTAGCTCCCTTTCCAGCCCAGGCAATCCAGGAATATCCTCTCCAAAGGCTCCCTTCCACTCCTCCAGCCCAGCCCCACCTGCAGCCTCAGCCCCTCTTCTCCACCCGTTTCCATTCACATCCCACTCCTGTTCCAGGAAAACTGATGATGTGTGACATCCCCCAAACTCATCCCAACAATGCCCAAACGCAGCTGCCTGGGAAATGAGAAAACTTCCATTACAAAGAAAAACATTTCCAGGGATGGGTCTGGGACCCCTCTGCTCCCGAGGCAGACCGGAGGAGCTCAGAATGCTCCCCTGGAGAGGAGAAGGATCCAGAGAGAGCTTCCAGAACACTGCAGGGCCTGAAGGGGCTCCAGGAGAGCTGGGAATGTTCCCCTGGAGAGGAGAAGGCTCCAGGGAGAGCTCAGAGCCCCTGCAGGGCCTGAAGGGGCTCCAGGAGAGCTGCAGAGGGACTGGGCCAGGGCTGCAGGGCCAGGAGCCAGGGAATGGCTCCCAGTGCCAGAGGACAGGGCTGGATGTTGGCAATTGGCAATTGGCAATTGGGAATTGCTGGCTGGGCTGGAATTGCCAGAGCAGCTGGGGCTGCCCCTGCATCCCTGGCAGTGGCCAAGGCCAGGCTGGAGCCTGGGGCTGGGAGCAGCCTGGGCCAGTGGGAGGTGTCCCTGCCATGGCAGGGGGGCACTGGGGGGGCTCGGGGGTCTATCCCAAACCATCCCAGGATTCCCTGATTCTATGATTCCTTGAACATGGTAAGGAATTAAGACTAACTACTTCCCAATCAACGTCTGAATTTCTGAACAGTGGGAAGAATTCAGATTCCCTTTCTCCAAGCTCTCCAGGTGGACTAAAGAGAAGCTGCTCCATAGAAAAATGAGTGGGAAACCCTTTGGTGCCAGAAGTGAGCCAGGCTGCTGCCCTCGAGCCACAATGGGGCTGAGGGACCCCAGGGAGAGACTCCAGCCCTGGGAATGGGAGCTGCCAGAGGGGTGGACCAGCTCCTGGGATAAAACACCCACAAACCCCATTTGTCCCGAGTCACGCAGGGACAGGGGCTGGGAGAGGGTTGGCTCTCACATTGAGCACGTCCTGGCGCAGCGCCGTGGGCTCCACGCAGCTGATGAGGCGCAGCAGCAGGTCCATCATGGCAGAGGTGTCGATGTGCTTTAGCACCAGGCTCAGGAACTTGTCCTTTTTCCTCAAAAATGAGATCACCTGTGGAAAGAGGAGCCCGAATCAGCTGCCAATGGGACACGCAACTCCCTCAGAACTCCCTCATAACTCCCTAACAGCCCCCTCACAGCCCCCTCACAGCTCCCTCACAAATCCCTCATGGCTCCTTCATGGCTCCCTCACATCTCCCTCACAGCTCCCTCACAGCTCCCTCACGGCTCCCTCACAGCTCCCTCACATCTCCCTCACATCTCCCTCACAGCTCCCTCACAGCTCCCTCACATCTCCCTCACGGCTCCCTCACGGCTCCCTCACGGCTCCCTCACAGCTCCCTCACATCTCCCTCACAGCTCCCTCACAGCCCCCTCAGAGTCCCCTCACAAATCCTTCACAACTCCCGCAGAACTCCCTCACGGTTCCCTCACAAATCCCCCGCAACTCCCTCACATCTCCCTCACGGCTCCCTCACGGCTCCCTCACATCTCCCTCACGGCTCCCTCACAGCTCCCTCACGGCTCCCTCACATCTCCCTCACATCTCCCTCACATCTCCCTCACATCTCCCTCACATCTCCCTCACAGCTCCCTCACATCTCCCTCACAGCTCCCTCACAGCTCCCTCACATCTCCCTCACA